ATTTATTTGCTTCTTTTCCATTTTGCATTTACTTGTACTTTTACTTTCAATACTTAAGTACGTTTAAGATTTAAAAAATACTTTTCGTACTTAAGTACAATAAATATCACATACTTTAAGACTTTTACTCAAGTAATATTCTAAACGGTGACTTCAACTTCTACAAAAGTCATTTTCTGGTAGGATATCTGTACTTTTACTTGAGTATGGCTTTCAGGTACTTTATACACCACTGGTCGTTAGTTCCATTGAACTCTATTGGCAATGATGGAACTTGCGACCATAGTTGCTGGGAAACGCACCCCAGGTCGTTGTTGGTTGCTGTAGTTGCCGGTGGTTTCATTCTTTTTCAGGACATTCCAAACTATCGATTTCTCCATGCCCATTGTTTTTGACATAGCTCTATTTGGGTTCCTCTTTTCTTTTAGCATCCAAATTGCTTGCTTTTCTCTCAAAGTCAGCTCCCTTGTCTTCATCCTGGTTTGTGTGTGTGTCACCATCAAATGCAAGACTCAGAATAGAGAAGCAATGGCTATAACTGATACAACACATTCCCTGCTTTTAAAGGGGTCATATGACGTTGCTAAAAAAGAACATTATTTGGTGTAATGAAATGTGTTTATGCGGTTTAAGGTTCAAAAAACACATTATTTTCCACATACTGTACATTATTGTTGCTCCTCTATGCCCCGCCTTTCTGAAGCGCGTCGATTTTTTCAAAGCTCATCGTTCTGAAAAGCGAGGTGTGCTCTGATTGGCCAGCGGTCCAGTGCGTTGTGACTGGCTGAATACCTCAAGCGTTTGATGGAAATGTTACGCCCCTTATCATATTGTGATGCCGTGTCCTGGTGCGATGAGACAAAACCAATAAAACCCATTACAAACGAGGCATTTGTAGCATCCAGTGGGGACATAATTACTGATTATAATGACTTATAATGTCTTTTTACACGTTGTGTTGCATCGCGCCGCGGGAACATAAAACCATGTCTGCATTTGTGATTGGTAATATCTCTTTGGGTTTGAGACTTTAGTCTTTGCAACTTTAGGGATCTTAACTATTCACGAACAGCTTGTAACACTCCACAGAGAAAGGAAAACTTGAAATCGCATCATATGACCCTTTTAATATCTGAACAATTAATGCATCAGGACATGGCTGATCATTTAGAAAGACATGTGAGTCAACTGTTCCAATACTTATGCTCACATCAGATGTGAATCAGATGTGAGACTCTAAAAGTGCTGATCTTCTTAGTTGGCAAAACATCTATCTGTTGAATCACCCAGTAATAAAAATGTGACATTCTGTAGTTTTGTCTCATATTCATCTTTTAATCATATTTGCAGATGTCTTGACTCCACGGTGGACAAAGCAATTTTGTCATTACTCAATCCTATATCATTTTAGATATGAAATTAGAGTTTTATCTCTGACAGGACAATTTTAAAAGATCCCTTCCTTTTTTTTTCTTTTCTATACTCGAAATAATAGAAAATAAACTAGATTTGCCTGACCTAATATTTGTTTTGGCCCTTACTGTCAAATAATTTAGAAAGGTATATCAACAATGACAAGCAGAGAGTGTTTCAGTATTTCTAATCAATGCTCAGTTGGAGAGAAAACCTCTGATGGAACGTCTGCCAAGCCATCACACTTTCAAGCATCCATCCTCAAATGACTTTGATTGAGATGATCTGGTGGCCAGCAGCAAGATGCAGATAGGCCAATAAATTACTTCAGATAACAGTGATGTCAACGCAGTCTGCCAAAAACAAAATCCTCAAACGTCTGCCAAGCCATCACACTTTCAAGCATCCATCCTCAAATGACTTTGATTGAGATGATCTGGTGGCCAGCAGCAAGATGCAGATAGGCCAATAAATTACTTCAGATAACAGTGATGTCAACGCAGTCTGCCAAAAACAAAAACAAACTCCTCCCCCTGCTATCAAAAGCTATTAGCTAGCAGTTAATGTGAATTTGATGATAAATATACAGCCTTGGTTCTAACATCCTTCTTTTTGGCAGGAAGATGTAAAATGACTGAATAAAAGCACAATGCTCTGGAAAGTACTTTTGAACGACATGTTCATGGATGGCTTGAACTGGATGTCATTTCTGTATCTTAGAAGAAAGAGCCAAAATGGTTTAGGGTAGACTGACAAAAAAAAAAAAAGGATGAAATTGATGGAGTTTTTTTTCCCCTTCATATATTTTAACATATTATTGCATTAAAAAACAAAACAAAAAAAACAGACAGACATAAACAGTATTCAATACACAAGAATGCAACACTTTTGCATAATGCATGCTTTGGCTCATATGCAATTTAGTTTCTAAAATAATGGCCTTTTCTCAGTGAGTGCCCAAAAAATGAACCCTCATTTTTTATTTGGGGTCTGAGAGGCTCTAAGACCATTTTAATAGCCTGATAGTGTTCCCAAGTTGATGAGCTCCAACAAAGACCCTGTGACGAGTGGGGTGGGGCCAAGAGCCGTGGGAATGGAGCGAGGCCGGTGGAGTAAATGATAATGCGACACCTGCGCAACTCACTGGTTTCGAGTCCCACGGAGGAGCTCCAGAAGGATAAAAGGTGGAGTGACGACAGTGAAGGACGAGAGAGGACCAGGCCTGGGGGGTGTTCCAAAAAGCAGGCTGTGTGACATACAGAGAAGGGTGTTCCTGCACAACCGGAGGCCACAGTTCTAGGAATGCAGTTCTAGGACCCTATTCTTTTGTAACAGCGCCACCTACCGAATTGGATAATATAGCGGAGGCTGCAGTTTCTGGCCCGCATTTCTAGGACCCTGGTGGTTTAGTTTGTAGTAATGTTTGTACATGTTGTTAAAGATATTGAATCTCAGGAACATTATTTGTTATTTCAATTGTGATTTTTGATTTATAAATGCATCAGATGTTAATTACAATGTGTGTAATACCTGCTTTGAGTTAACAATTTTAAATTTAAATTAATTTATTTTCTGATTTAACACTTATGCAATGTTGGGATTGTACAGAGAGAGAACCAAACAGAAGAATCATGTTACTGACATATAACTCCATACTCTAAACCCCAAATTTAAGTATATAAGAGTAAAACCCACCAATTGAATGTTCTCCCTTCTTTCCTCAATTGTTTGTCAATCCGGTAACACTTTATATGAAGCCTGTATTTATAATACATTATAAGGGTTTTCTTAAGGCATTATAGTTAATGCATAAAGCATTATAAAAAAAACAACTTAATAATATGTTGTATCATCTCATAAATAATCCTTACATTTATAATACATTATAATGCTTACGCATTTCTGGTTATAACTTTTAAGAGTATGATTACGTATAACACACAATGAATACCATTATAAATCCACTTAATTTATAATGGATTATCTTGACATTGTTTATTTAAGATCTGGACAGTATCTTACTACATCTTGTGAGTGGTTAGGAGTGGTTGAATGTTGTTTTGAATGTTTCCTGTGAGGTTAATATTAATTTTGCTGTGATACTTTCAAATGAAAAAATGCAACGTGTGTTTTTTATTAGATTACATTTTATTTTGATGGTCCCCTTTAGTGAATTGACTAAGCAACTTTGCAACTACATGTTAACTAATTCTCATTAGAGTATTAGTAGACTTAGTTAAGATTAGGGTTGGTAGAATAAGTTGATGTATTTGCAAAGTTGCTTATAGTCAGTAGAATATCTGTTGGGGAACCATCAAAAAAAGTGTTAGCAGACAGTCTACTAATACTCTAATGACTGCTAGTTGATATGTAGTCGCAGAGTTACTTATCAACAGTTGTCTAAAGGGTACCGTCAAAATAATCTAATTGATATTACAATAAAAATGGTTCAAAGCAAATGTGTACACATTCATCTGATATCTGATCTTATGGCTGTTTGAGAAAAAATATTATTATTATTATTATTATTATTAATAAGTGGTCTTTGTCTTCTTTATGTACTGTGAAGTTCTTTGCAGAAGGACCTGTCTCAAGAGGCCTCTAGTGGAAACACCCTGTCAGAGTAGGTATTCGAGGATACCAGGAGGAGTGGGTCCCAGGCGGAACCGGGGTTTTAGACCACTCAGAAAAAGAGAACGAAGCTGAACGCGTAACTCTTACCATATAGGATTTTAGAGAAGTGGGCAAAGCAGAACGTGCGCACTTACCACTTTTCGTGGAATTTTAGAAAAGTGGGCAAAGATACCGTGCCCACTTACCACCATGTGGATTTTAGAATGTCCATATGTAGATGGATACAACCGTTCTAGGGGGTTCTCGTGGCACTTCTGGAGGGCAGCCTATAGATGGAAACCTGAGTAGTCATCAGTCTCACCTACGGCTATCACGCTGGCGTGGCTAGCCGCGAACCTGTAGCTGAGGGAGCAGACATCCATTCAG